AAGGTTGTATTTATGGTATCAAAAGATAGAGTGTATGTATTGGATGTATTTACCTACTTGAGAAAGTAGAAAGTTTTCAGGTTAGTCTAAGGAATTGTGTGGTAGGTAAACACTCACATCACATCTGTTTTTTGCTTCAGCTTGATTCTAATCCCCAGATCTCTGCCTCTGGAGTAGCTAGGATTATAGACCTGAGCAGTGTCCAGCATGGTTTTGTTTTGTTTTGTTTTTTTAATTTCTTTTGTACAATGTTTGGGTCATTTCTCCCCCCTCCAGCATGTCTTAAAATTAGAAAGGGAGCTAGGTGCAACTCAGTGGTAGAGCACTTGCCTAACATGCACAAGGCCCTGGGTTTGCCCTCCAGGTCTGGGAAAAAGCAAACCCCATAGCTAAGAGACTTATGTTCAGAAAAAGGCAATATTATATACACTGAGGTAGGATTTTTGGTCCTCTAACAGTGAAAGGTCGCCCATTGGATATTTGTATTGGACCAAATGAAGAGATAGTTATTTCAACCAGTTTGAGCTGTCTCCAAGTTTCCAGAAAAACTTAGCAATTATTTTTTAAGAAAACTTTTATTTGTTCCTCAAAATGTAAACCCAAGACCCAGACTTCTCAGGAAATCCACTCAGAAATGTGTGTCTATGCTAACTAATAAGCATGTTTCCCCGTGGCCCCCACCCCCAACAGATTCTGTACACATGAGTAATCTACAGTCTCTGCAGTCCCACCCACACGAGGCTGCCTAAACTGGAGTTCTGAGGTTCTTCCTTACCCTAATTCCACTAACTGCCAAAGGTTTTCTGGAATAATCTCAGTCACTCAGTTTTCTTGGCTACTTTTGAAGATGAAACCCAAAGAACTCTTAAATGATTCTCTTTGGGAGAGATTATTTTATAGGCATTAGCAGCAAAAGCAGGGCTGTGTGATCCTGTCTGGCATCGCTGAGAGAAAACCTATAAAAGCAAAGGAGAGTAAATAAAGACAAATAATCAGCCTAGGCAATCAGTCTAGGACTCCTTCTAACCATTATTTTATTGGGCATGTCTGTGTTGTGGGAGCACAATTGGGAACTATAAAAATGCAGGCTGGTGAGGTTCCAAGATGACTCATTTTAAGGAGATGATATCTAAGGGAGAAGTTTCAGTAAGTGGCTGGAAAAGAACTCCCACAAAGCAGCAGGGATATTTATTTTCACTCTCTCTGGGTGTGAACCTTAAGGTTTGCTTGAGTTCTATAGATCAGTCGAGTCCACTCAGAAGCACATGAACGCAAAATAGATCTTTCCCTTTTGCTAGCCTTCCCTTTCGCTTTGCTTTCCTAAGCTGCTGGGGTCAATCTTGGGGCTCATTAAATCTCACCCTAACCGCAGCTTCTTAGACAACTGTATGTGGAGATCAGGCTGCGTTCAGGATGTTACTCTGTATTGTATGGAACAGTACCTTTCAGGCTGAGACTTGCTATGAGCAACTCCTTTATTTAAAAAAAAAATTTTTTTTTGGCAGTACTGGGTTTTGAATTCAGGACTTCTTGCCTGCTAGGCAAGTGTTCTACCTCTTAAACCATCTCTCTAGCCCCGTAACTCCATCCCCCCCACCCCCCAAAGTGGTATTGGGATTTGAACTCAAGGTTTCACACTTGCTAGGCAGGCGCTCTCCACCACCTGGGCCACTCCACCAGAGTTTTTTTGAGATAGGGTCTCTGGAACTATCTGCCCAGGATGGCTTTGAACCTTGATCCTCCTTATCTCTGCCTCCTGAGTAATTAGGATTATAGGCGTGAGCCATTGGGCACCTGGCAACAGCTCCATTTTATACAGCAGCCTTTGCTCCATTTTGAGTGCAAATGCTGATACACAATGGCTCTATATTAAAAAAAAAAAAAGAAATAAAACAAAGAATGGCTCTATATTTTATTTGTGCAAGTAAGCAACCACCATCTGTCCAGCACAATGACAGAAACTGGTAACTTCTTTACGCAAATAAAATATCACCTATAAGTGTATCAAATTAAATCAAGAACACATGGAACATATAGGCATGTCAAAGCCATATTTCAGAAACCAAACAATGATGCAACCCCCTTAACCTGGATCACATAAAAAGAGAGGAACCTAGGCTGGAGGCATGGCTCAAGTGATGGAACACCTGCTGAGCAAGTGGGGAACCCTGAGTTCAAATCCCAGCACCGCCAAAAGAGAGAGAACCCAGTACCACAGAGAGAGAGAGAGAGAGAGAGAGAGAGAGAAAGAGAAGGAAGAGAGGAAGGAAGGAGGGAGGGAAAGAGGGAGGAAGGGAAAGAAAGGAAGAAAAAAGGAGGGGTACCTAACACAGGTACAGTAACACCCACAGACCTGTCATCAGACCACCTGTCATGGTGCAAATGTCACAGAATAAACTCTGGACTCTGTCCCCAGGGACTCAGCTCAGCAAAAACCCCCCAACTTGAACTGTTACTGATAGGTGAGATGTTTCAGATGTTCCTCAGTTCTTGGGTACAACGTCTAAGATGAGGATACAACCCCAGATGCAGCAAAAGTGGCACAAAGAGTAGGAAGATAATAGTGATTTATTAGGAACATGGAATTACTCTTCCAGGGATATAATTGCTCTGGAGGTGCAGTTCAGGTAAGGATCTGCTGGTGGAAGCTGTTGGGAGCTGGGGATTTATCCAACAAGGTGGGGTTGCTAGTTTGTGTGAAATCAGAACCCTCACCTTGTGGCCCTCCCCAAATGGTTGGGCCACTGGGCACATGCCTGTTCAATTTTTCTTTGCCCTTCCTTGTTTAAACTTGATATGGGGAGGGGCTCATAAGGATATTAAGACCATTATTCTAATACTGTAATTCTTTTGGGGGGGGGGGTTGAACTCAGGTTTCTCACTTCATTATTTTAATCCTTAATCCTTGGCCATCTGGGGTTTTAGAATGGAATCTTGCAATTTGGGGCTCATTCCTAGGCTAGCAAAACCCCTTGCTTGACACTTGCGGTTGGCAGCCCTACCCCAGAACAGCTCAGCCACTGGGTTTATGTTAATATCTTACCTAACTATCTTAAATGACTCTTTCTGTATCAGCTCTCTGTTCTTACCTCCTGTAAGGTCCTTTGAGCCCTGCAGCCACTTTAACCCTTTCTTAGTCATTCTGTAACCTATATATTATTGTGAAAGTGTAATATGTGATCTGAGAGTTAATATTAGCAATTAAGTTTGGAATAAAAGAACCTCTGATTGCCAATGGCCATGATGACCAAGTGAAAGCAGTAGTAAGCAAATTAAAGCCAATGAAATTGATGTAGATTGTGAATTTATTATTATTCAATAAATTCTAGATCATATATCTGGTGTAGCATAATGGTGTGGGGAAAGTAGTCCTTTGTAGCTGCTTGCAGTTCCAGGTTCATGTTTTTGAGCTCCATTTTCCCATGGAAATTACTACCTACCCCACTCCCAAATTCCAAGTGTAACATTAGCCAATCCTGAACAGACTGTGCAACCAAACTCAGCCAATCCGAGTAAAGGGGCAGGGCCCACTGTATCAGGAATTAAAAATGAGGACCAAGTGCCTGCTCCTTGTGCTTGCTGTGCCTATGCACCAAACCCTCCTGCAGAAGTAAATTTTGCCTTGTCAAGACAATTCTCCGTTTCTGTGCCAATTGTGACCCCAGTGCTCTTTGGGGGGGGGGTCTTATTTCTAACAGCTCAAGTGGTAAAGTGCCTGCCTAGAAAGCATGAGGCCCTGAGTTCAAACCCCCGTATGGCAAAAAAGAAAAAAAAAAAAATTCTATCATGGAAAAACACAAATGTGTCTGCCTATATTTCTGACATAGCTCATTCACAACAGTTACAATCATGGTCAGTTGTCTTATAGCAAAGCTAATGGGAGTATACAGCTCAGCTATATTACCTCTAAAAACTGGAGGGCTCATTCAGGTTTTCCTTCAGTTTCAAACTCTACACTAATTGCCCTGTATGAAACAATCCCTTCCACATTTTTTCCCCCTTTCTTGCCAGGAAATGAAACTCAGGGCCTGTGGCATGCTAGGAAAGTGTCTATCAGTGAGCTATACCTCCAGACCCGCTATCTTTTAACGTGCTTTTTCTTTACAGTACAAACTACTCCCTGAGTTGTGTTTACTGTATGTTTCTTCCCCTAGATCCTCCTGATAGCCACCACCTGAGTAGCTAGGATTACCATGCCTAGCTTATATTCATTTTCTAAACACAATACAGTATGTAATCTGCTCCACTACAGTTCTAAGTACTTTACAAAATTAATTTCATCTTCTAACAGTTCTACTAAATGAGTTCTATTATTGTCTCCATTTTATAAATATGAAACTGAGGCATAGAAAGGTCAACTAGTCTAAATCAAGTCATAAAGCCAGTAAGTGGTGGAGCTGGAGTCCTTGGGCTGTTGGAGTGACTCAAGTGGTAGAGTGCCTGCCTTGCAAGACAAGGCCCCGAGTTCAAAACCCAGTACAGCAAAAACAAAAAAAACTCCACAAACATCCTGGTTGTGAAAAGTAACAATCACCACGCCATTCATCTTTTCTGAGTTTTCTTTTTTCTGTAAGGGGTAGTAAGTTAAGTCCAAGCCTCACACTTGCTAAGCACATGCCTACCACTGAGCTACGCCCCAATCCACTTTTCTCTTTTTTTTGGCGGTACTGGCGTTTGAACTCAGGGTCTCATGCTTGCTAGCAGGAGCTCTACCACTTGAGCCACTCCAATCCTTTTTTGTGTTGGGTATTTTCGAGATACGATATCGTGAACTATTTGCCAGGGTTGGATTTGAACCGCCAACATCCTCGTGGTTCGAGACCAGCCGAAGGATAGTTTGCGAGACACTCCCCACCCCTGCCGCTCCTCCAAAATAACCTGGGCAAAATGGACTGGTGGTGTGGCTCAAGTGGTGGAATGCCTACTTTGCAAGCGTGTAGTCCCGAGTTCAAACCCACAAAAAAAAAAAAAAAAAAAAAAAAGGCTGAGCTGCGAGTTACCAGAGCTGACAGACGAAGACAGTGCCCAGGGGCAGGGTGCAAAGTGAGGGCGTAGAGTTAAGAAAACTCTCGCCTTCGAGTCTCGCACAGCGGAAAAGCCCTGACCTCGCTGCCACACTCCGTACCAACGCCTGGAAGATGGCTCTTCCGGCATGCTCGCGGGGCATGCTGGGACACCGGAAGCCCGCTGCGAACGCAGAGTACGTCGGGAGCTGTAGTTTCCTGCCCAGAATTCCTCGCATGGCTTGTAATTAGGTCACTTGAAGGGCACATCCAGAAAGCGGTGGTGCTCCCGGCGCAAGGTGCCCCTCCGGCGACGACACAGTGCGCCCTGGACCGCATCTCCTCTCCGCAGGGCGTGGGACTTCCATGCCTCCACAATCTGCTCCACCTACGGGAGGGAACGCCAGTTACCACGCAGTCCTACGATACTCTCTCTCTCCGAAGACCCTAAGCAGGATCGGGGGCCTCTGCTTTGTCCCCATGCTGAGGAGTGGGTCTGAGCCTGGTTCCCCCGCGTCCGCACCGGGATAAGCGGCTCCCGCCGGTTCTGCTCTTCCAGGGCGCTCAACTCCGCCGGGGCCAGCAAGGCCAGTCTCAGCTCTCGAACCACGGGGGCCGCCACTTCGGCTACAGGCCGTTCCAGCACCGCCTGCGAACGCCAGGTCTGAGCCGGGGCAAGCTGGGGGGCATTTGTCCCGCCACTAGCTTTCGAAGATCTTGCGGCCCGTTCCGCCTTCAGCGCCCTCGCACTCCCCCAGGCCCCACTCACCGCGCCCACGCGCGCCCAGTTTCGGGCGGCTTGGACCAGCTCAGCCTCGTCCACGCGGAGCTTGTCGCTGCGCAGCAGGGGCAGCAACGCAGGGGCCGACAGCTCCAGAAAGCCGCGGGTCCGCAGCGCCTCCTGCGGGCCCGGGTGTCGGTCAGCGGGGAGTAGAATGGGTGGGTGGTTTTAGGAGCATGAAGATGGGGAGCCGTACCTGGCTGTGGACCTCTATGAAGGCTATACACCGCTCCTCCAGCGGCCCCAGGCCAAAGGTTACCGCCACCTGGGCGCAGAATGAGGGAGGTCAGGTTAGAAACTGGAGAGACCGCCATACTGACTCTAGTAGGGGAGACTAAGAGGGCCTATGATCTCCTAGAAAATTAGACCCAGTGAAAGCCCACGTTGGCATGTACACACACAGGTGGATGATAAAAGAGATCATACCATGTCCTTCAAACCCCACCCTGGGGCCTAAGCTTGGCTTCTAAACCCCACACCCCACCCTTTCCCCACCTGAGAACCATTCCCACTCTTGATAGAAACCAGCGAAGATTTCCTGGCCCATCAACACTTGCTCCTACACCTGACCCTTCTGATAATACCCTGGATTCCACAGATCTGGGCACAGAATTTATCCCATAGACATTCTTGGAGCACTCCTGTCCCCTCTCATGTACCCAGATTGTTCCATGACAGATATGAGGTCCAGGCTCCTTGTACCTGGACCCCAGTACCACAAACTAGAAGCCAGACTTCTTCCAGGCCTGTCCAGTAACACCCACCTGCAGGGCTTCACAAACCAACTCCACATCTAGCACCTTCATCACAAACTCCAGGCACAGCTGGGGACAGAAATGATTGTGAGCTGTGCGGAGTTGTTTCTGTTCCAAGACCCCAGTCCCATCCCAGAAGCAGTGAGCAAGCTTGGAGCAGTGACTCACCTAGACTCCTAGCAGCCCCAGGCCCATTCTGATCTATCAGGCCTGGGGTGAGGGAAGACAGGGAATTGCTAGGGTCTAAAATTTGGCAAGGCCAGGGGGCTGGAGAATAACAAAGCAAAGCCCAAAAGTGCACCTTCTAGCACATTTGCTTCTGATAAAATCTATGCAAAAATCCCACTCTCTTTCCCTCAGAATGCTAATCTTTCTCTCTCAAGAAGACTTCTATTTTTACCAGAAACTTGAATTTCATGCTTAACATCTTATCCTCACATCTAGAAAAACATTGGGTCATACGAGTTCTACCCACCTCCTCTCTCAGAGCCACCCACCTCTCTCTTGGGTTTCCACTGCTAACCCCATCCTGGCAGCCACCTCTTGATTAGCACACTAGCCTCCTAACCAGACTGCAGACAGCAGACGGCCTAGGACACATAAGCCCTTTCAGTTCTTTCCTAATCTTCCAAATCCTACTCCCTTCCCTGAAACCCTTGGTGAATTTCTACTACCCTGGGGTTTTAAAAATCCCCCAGTTTTCTTCTCCTTCATCAAACTTAGGGCTTGCACATGCTAGGCAAGTGCTCTACCACTAAAGTATACTCCCAATCCTTTTTTTGTTTTCTTGTGATGATGAGGATCAAACCTAGGACCTTGTACATACTAGGCAAGCTCTCCACCACCAAGCTAAATCCCCAACCCCCAAATTCTTAAAAACCCTGACTAAAACAGCCTCTGTCACCCATCCAGGGGTTCTCACACTCCTAGTCCAGCCACACCAAATGCATCAGGAATTCCTTTGGTACTGCTATGACTAGAATGTCATCTTCTCATCATTTTGCTCGACCAGATCCAACACAAATGTTTTCTCCTCCAGGAATCTCTTCACACAGCATCAGCAATTTACCCTCATCTGTCACACTTGTGCTACCCTATTAAGTATTTTCATCTCTATTTACTCTAGAGAACAAAGATCTCTCTGTGTACCCATTTGCTCTCTAGGTTAGAAAGCGAGTGGAGTGGAGCAAGGTGTGAACTGAGCCCGTGAGAGGCAAGGGACAGATGCCAGGGCCTAGCACAAACACCCACCTCTCGCAGCTCCTCCAGCCCATACTCCACAGCTGCTGTCAGCACTTCCAGCACCTGCAGAGTGGGTGATTGGGAGTAAAAGGAAGTTTTCCCTGTCCCTCAGCATGATGAGCAAACTCGGCCTCTTGCACCCGCAGCCTTTCCCACCCAGCCCCTGCTTGGCGGGCTCACAGAGTGGCGGTGCAGCGTGACGCTGTTGGTATACAGGAACTCCAGCACTGCTAGGAAAGCCTCAGCTGGCACAGTGCTTAGCACCACAGGACTAGGCACCCTGGGGCCCGTTTCTGTGCCCAGAAGTCTCTGGAAGAAGTTGCATCTACAAGCCAACAAGCACCGGTGGGCAAACACCTCCTGCCGCTCTTGACCAACCACAAAGCAGACGTCACTGTGGGAGAGAGGGCGGGGAGCCAGGGGAGAAAAGTCCTGAGTCTAGAATACATTTTGGGCTTTGCCCTTGCCCAGTGTGGGCCTTATTTTCCTTACGTGTAATGTAAGAGGCGAGGCTTAGCCTTCCAACAGAAGGCCAGAGTTCTAGCCCCAGTTCACCTTGTACTGTAGGCAAGTGACTTCCCATCTGAATCTCAGGTTTCTCACTCATGAACTCAGTTCTCAGAGGAGGTGACTACACTTGGTCACTGAGGAGACCAGGATTGATGCAAGCAAGTTGATCCCAATACCCTCTCCTTCCCAGTCTGTGGTTTGGAGGAAGGGAAACTCCTCTTAGCTCTTCCCCTGGCTGCAAACTCAGCTCTTTTCAATCCTCTTCCAGGAGAACTGTGGGAGTGCAGGATGCAGAGTGTGCACTGACTGCAGACATAGCAGTGATGCACCATGAGGTCAGACCACATTTTCCATCTTCATGATCACTTCCGGCCCCAGTCTCTGGGCCTCAAAACAAGGTAGGGGGGTAAGAGGCATGAGAAAAAGCTTGAACTTCCTCTAGTCCCACTACTCAGACCAGACTATGACATGCCCCCCCTCCCCCGACACACATACACGCACAACCTCCAAAGAAGCAGGGTTATGGGAGTCACTAATGCCTGAGGAGGAGTGCAGTTCTGAGACAGTGGGGACAGAAAGCTGCATCCTAGCTCTCCTGATCAGCTCTGCTCCCAGTAAACTCTATCCCTGGTTTTGCACAGCACTAATCTCTTGGGCAATCAGTGGGCGGTCTGCACCCTTGAACTACTTCCTGTCTGGGTTTCTGGCTCAGTTTCTAAAGCTTTGTTCCAGTTGTGAAGCCCCAATTCTCCTAACAGGGTCATCTGCTCCTCTGCTTTTTCAGAAAGGAAGGCCCCTAGATGAGTGCTGGACAGGAGTCAAGTTTCATCCCACCTCTCAGGATCCAGGGGTTGAGGAATTTATTTTTGGGGGCCATACTGGGGTTTAAACTCAGGGCTTCACACTTGCTAGGCAGGCACTCTACCACTTGAGCCATTCCGCCAGCACAGAGGACTCTTTGCAAGAACCAGAGAAGGATGGGCTTTGCCTGAGCTCAAACAGCAGCCCCAGGCTCCAGCCCCCACTGTCTCCCACCTCTGGCTCTCAGGATATCACAGACTCTAAGTGGCTAGCAGCCACCTTCTACACTTGATTTCCTCACAGACTTGCATTCACCAGGGAGGAAGGCCAGGTCACCATTCCTGCCTCTTCACCCAGGGCCTCCTCAAAGCCAGCTCGTGAAAACCCACCACGAGGGCCCACTCCCTCACCTGTATCGGGGGTTGTTCACAAGGCTCCGGAGTGCTGTGGAAAAGGGTGCAGCTTGTCCGTGCACAATCAGTTCTGGGGTCTCCATAGGGGTGGTGGGGAGGACAGAAAGAGGGTGGAGTGGCCTAGGAAGTCTACTGCTGTCTGTTGGTCAGTGCGAGGCCTGGCCAAGGCCCTAGAGCTGGTGAGGAAACCAGAGAGGCTTGAGAGGGAGAGGCAGGAGCCAGGCGCTCAGGAGACCTGTTTGCTGAAAAGCTAAAGATTAGGGAGGAAGAGAGGCCCAGGTTCCTGAAAAAGGCATCAGAGGTGCATGGAAGAGGCCAGAGGCTTCGCAAATGGGGACAGGCAAGAGAGAGGGGGAGGAGAGGGGGAAGAGAGGCAACGTGTGGAAAGGCACAGGCTTGCAGCAGCCTGTGGTCTGGAGAGAAACTAGTGTCAGATGAGGCCCAGGCTGGGAGCCTGCCCAGGCAGCCTGGTGAGAAGCCTGAGTTTCCATGGAAACTGAAGCAGGGGCTGCAAGGCCCGCCCATCTCCCTACTAACCCAGGGAAAAACTTCAGCCTGTGTAGGGACCCTAAGCTGAGTCTGGCCCCTGCCTGCCTTGGGTTTGGAGTTAAAGCCCTTTGCTTTCCTAATCCATCCCCACATGCTCACAGGTTAGGATCAGTTCTACAATGCCTGGGGAAACCCCTGCTGAACAGTAAAAATTCTCATCTCCCTGGATGTTTTTCAGAGCCCAGACTTAGCTTGTTTGGGCTGTCCCATCCCTTCCAGAAGGCGTCAGCTCAGACAGAAGCAGCACAACCTCTGGCATCCCTGAAATGCAACTAGGGGGAGAGGGGGTGATCTAGGTACTGAGGCACACAAACAGTGTGGTCAACTGGAGACAACCCCTGGGACACTTTGGTCAGTAACAAAGATCAGTAGACTGAATTTGGATTTACTCCTGAGTCACTGCTGTATCAGGCCTGCCCCCCCCTACACATACACACACAAGCTGAGGCAATGGGCCTCTCCACCCCCGCATTCTGAATTGAGGAAGTCATTCAAGCCCCACCCTAGCTCAGCGCCTGGAGCGGAAATGTTTTGTCCTTATTGAGACTGATGGGGAGACTTTAGAACCATGACGTGCTCCTTCCTGTGGGCCCAGATTCTGCATTCCTGAGCAACTACCCTGACAGCCTCAAGGTCTTTCCATACCCCAGGCCTCTGTGACTTGTTCACAAATGGCAAGTCATCTGGCCATTTCGTTAAGGATAAAAAAATGAACATGGCCCAAGAGCCCAAGAGTAGGACACCTTTCTAACCAGAGCCTCTCTACATTTGCTGTCTGTCATCCCATAGTGGTAGTATGCCTCGAGCTCCAAGCCCCCATAAGCTCCCTCTCCCAAATAACTCAGGGGCACCCCCCACCCCAACACGTAATCATAGTAGTAAGGTTCAGATTATTCCAGAGCTGAGCTGGAAGAACTCTGGGAGGAGGTGTGCTGTGGCAATCGCCCATGGCAACCACACAACATGGCCCTCCCCGACCCACCCTCATCCTCTGGTTGGGCCAGCTTTGTGAGGACTGTGGAGCCAGGAGAGCTCAGAAGCTAAAGGCTACAGGTGACTCAGGTGTGTGTGTGGGGGGCAAATTTCAGAAGAGGGTGGTCATCCCAGAAGTGATTCTCTACAAGGTAGAATAAGAAGCCAAAAGCAGAGGGTGCAAGGAGCTTCACGGGTCACCCAGCCCCATGTGACTGGTGAGGATCTTTTGGGCTCTGCCTAGAGCTGGTAGGTAGGGGTGGATGACTGAATTCAATACTTCCAGGGCTAGAGGGCTCTGAGGGGGTGGAGTTACCGATCCTCCTGTTCACAGGTTGGAGGCACCACTTCTACTGCCCAGGCTGAGTGAGAAGCCAGCTTTCTCTCCCTCTTCTGCGGGTGAACTTAAGTAGGAGAAAAGGAAGTGTACTTGTAGCTCACTTAGTGGAACAACACAGTGACCAAGTGGAGCTCAGGGGAGACCTCACAGGACCAAAGACTGTGCAACAGCCCTTCCCTTGCTTTGTCTCTAACTGCTCTTAGTCCTCTGAGCACCTAGGAACCCAAGCAGTACCATACTGTTTTTGTTTTTCTGTAGTACTGGGGTTTGAACTCAAGGCCTTACGCTTGCTAGGCAGGCACTCTACCACTTGAGCCATTCCACCAGCTCAGTATTTGATGTACTTGTTCCAAAAATACAGATAAGAAGCCAGAAGGGGGGAGCCCCACTATTGGTAAAAACCTGTACTCCCAGCTGTTCTGGAGGCTGAAGCAGGAGAACCACTTGAGCCTAGAAGTTGGAGGCCAGACTGGGCAACAGTGAGAAGCCTAAGTATTTTACAAACCCAAGTCCATAAAATACTTTTTTTTTTTCTTAAAAGGTCCCATCACCAAGCAACGACTGTGGTGTAGACAGAAGGCCAGTGAAGCCACCCTAAGTGTGGGTCTTCCAGTAGGCAGGTCCATGGCCAGCAGACCTCTGCCCCCGGGACACAAGGAGGAGGAGGAGACTGCCAAAGAACCAGCACCAAAACTGTCACTGGTACGGCCCAGAGGCTGCCTGCCCAGCATTGATGAGTCCCGACCATCAGGTCAGAGCCCAGCCCCCCGCCGAAGCTCCGTGCTGGGCTTAACCACATCCTTCTCTCGCCGCAACTCTCTGGCTGGATCAGGCATTGGTGCTGGAAGTCGCAGACCATCCCTGGGCCCAGTGCCCCCTCTAGGTTCGCGGGTTAGCTTCTCGGGCCTGCCCCTGGTGACCGCCCGTCGTGTGGCACCCTCATACCGCACTGAGCCCGCACCGGGGGAGTCCTGGGAGTCTGTACATGCACAGCGCATCCTGGAGGCAGCACTGGACGCCAGACTGTGCAATGTATGCTACTCAAGTGTGGAAGGCGGGCAGCTGGCACAGGAGCTGTGTGAACAGGTGCATGTGCGCCTGCGCGAGCTCAGCCCCCCTCGCTACAAGCTCGTGTGCTGTGTGGTGCTAGGGCCACGAGAAGGCCAGGGTGTGCACGTCGTCAGCCGTGCACTCTGGGACGAGGCACGTGATGGGCTGGCCTCGGCCACCTTCACCAATGCCTCGCTCTTTGCGGTGGCCACAGTCCACGGGTTGTATTGCGAGTAAGCAGATCTCCCAAGTTCTGCAAAATGGTTTATTATGCCAGGAGGAGGACCCCTGGGCTCACATCCCAATAAATAAATGTCTCAATAAATAAAAGTGGTCCATAAATAATGCCCCCTAGCTGGGGGCTAAGGCTCAGGCTTATCTCAGAGAAGGGGTAAGAGACAGCAAGGACAGGCTGCCCCCCAACTCCAGTAAAGCTGGTCCCTGATTCCCTGGGGGATTCAGCCAGGAGCCCCCAGTGAGGCACCAAAGAGACAGGGAGGGCCACAAAGGCAAGGGCCAGAGCCTTACAGGCACAGGCCTCAGCTTTGAGGGCTTTGGGTCATGGCCTGCTCTGCAGGTTGGGGTCTAGGAGGGACTGCGGTCCCGGAGCAGGCGTAGAGCATAGCGGAGTCGCTGCCGAAGGTCTGGGGAGCAGCCCAGCTGCCGGAGGTGG